ATTTTCTAAGTCTTATCTCAGGAGAAAAATAAATGATTTATTATTTACTAGTATTTGCTCACTGAGATCAAAATATTTAGAAAAACTAACCATTCTTTAAGAACTTCAAATTGTTGGTATTATGAAAACAGGAATTTTAAATATCTGATAGCCTAATGCTAAATAAAATTATATGTCACAGTTTTTACTAACAAATTTTAATTTATGAAAAATAAATACAAGAAAATATAACAGGGTGTCCCAAAAATATGTACACACACTTTAACAGCTGACAGCCACATTAAGCTTTCTTCTTTTAAAAAAGAAATATATATTTTAATTGATTTTAGAGAGAAAGGGAGAGGGAGAGAAGGAACATCAATGGGCTGCTTTCTGCATGCCCCCTCCTGGGGATTGTACCAGCAACCTGTGCCCTGACCATGCAAGAGGTCAACCACTGAACCCCACCAGTTGGACCAGACTAAGCTTTAAACCAAGGTAATTCATCCTAAAATGCTACTGTTTGAAAATGCAATTCAAGTACAAACAATGCCTTTATAAATTACTCTTAGTATACATTTTTTGGGTGGTTTGGGGGAGAGACACATAGGATGTCCCCAAAAAATGTATATTAATAAACATTTTTAACAGCTGATAACTCACTTAATTTTCACTTCTTTTCAGGTTTAACTGATTTGAAATAATGGGTGAAGCCAGACTAAGCTTTGAACAAAGAAAATCTATCCACCAGACTTTTCTATGGGGATACATTTTAAAAAAAGGAAGTTTACAATACAAAATCAGCAACAGTTGACAAATTGAAGACAAATACTGAACAAAATTATTCTTGATGTTTGCCATTCCATTGCTTCATGGTATCAGCAATGCCTGGACCAGAACGGTCATCAGTTTTAAAACAGGCAATGACACACACACACACACACACACACACACACACACACACACAAAATTATTTCTGTAGATTCTTTCAAGTTTTAAAAATGAACTGTATGTTAATAAACAATGACTTTACAATCATTCAAATTGTGTATACATTTTTTTGGGACACCCTTTATATTAAAAGCTGGATAAGAGGTTGCAGTAAAAAAATAAGCATTTTTTTAAGTTTATGAAAGATGAAGTCAAGGCAAAGATGTGAATATCATTTCTACCGGATCCAGGCAGGTAACAAAAATGAGTGAAATAGGCCATTTCTATTACCCAGAGATTTCTGGGAACTGGATTGACTGGTAAGCATATTCCCAGTCTAAAAAAGGGCAACTACTGTTCTACTACTCTGCAGATAATGGGAATGTAGCTAAGTAATGCCTGGATGTTCAAGTCTTCCCAAAAATTAAGAAATGCATGGATTTTATTGAGAAATTTCCCAATTTTTCAATTTCAATCACTAGCTGAAACTTACAAATACTGCAAATCAAAGAAAACACATCTATAGGATGATTCAGTCCAAAGGGCACTTCTAATGTGTAAAAACTGCTTTCATAAAAGTATGAGAGGATGAGTGAAAAAATTCAAGCTTTGAGGTCAAACAAGCTTGTGTTTGAATGAATGATGCTAAAAAATTATTTCTTCAAGCCTGTTTCTTCAACTGTATATATCATCTCTCTCTCTCTCTCTCTCATAAATGATGAAAAACTCTTATAACAATTCCAGATACTCAGCACACATTACATAAATAGCCCTTACTCTCCCTACTTAACCCTGCAAGTCCTTAGGAAAATTTTAAATGTATCAGATAATAACACCCTTAAAGTCCTTAAAAGTTATAAAAAGGACATCAGAAAACAAAGGTGCCTGCCATGCCCATTGCTCTCTAAACCTCTGCTACTCAGAGAGGTCCTGTGGAAATACAGAGAAGATACTGTTAGGGCAGCGATTTCCAGCCTTTTCATCCCATGGCAAACATAAACTAATTACTAAAATTCTGTGGCATACTGGTTGAAAATCGCTCACTTAGGGGATGGCTTGAAATGGGCCTTCTTAAAGTGCTACAGCTAATTAGATTGTCAATTTCCGTTTAAAAAGATAAAGAATCAGAGCTCCTTTAAAAAAAAGACCAAAAAAAAGACTAAATGTCTGTCTCTCTTATTAATTTCATAGACCTTTACTTGCTGGTAGAAGTGGAAGAAATAGTTTATACTTTTAATACTTTGGGCCAAACTTGCAGAAGACTTATTTCTATAGAACCCATGGTACAAAGTAAAGCATATACAACAGATTTTTAAATTTTAAAAATGTCATACTATACAGTTCATTTTATGTATAATTTTATCAAACCAAAACATGTACTGCTACAGCTAAAATACCTTTGGACCTCTCAAACTACTTAATTTTTTAAGAAAGAAAAGACATCAACTTCCAATATATCTGTGTTAAAAAGTAATATTCACATATACATAAAAATTATTTGGGCTATATTTAATAAAAATAGGCCCAATAAATTTCTAACATAGTTACAAATAATTTTTAAAAGCATTTTATGTATACATTTGACTATATGTCTACATAGCCACTGAACTCTAGAAATTTTACACTACCTTTCTACAAATATAGATATGTGCTGAGATATGTGCTAGAAACAGACAGCATTAGAAAAGTTTAAATTTTATAATTTCAAACATTTTATCTCTTCCAGTTTCCATCATATTAGGAGGAAAAATAATTAAAACAGTGATTGATAAGTCAGAAAGGGGGAAGCAATTAAAAGGTTTTATTAAGTACCTAAAAATCATTTACACTTTAAAATTAAACCCATATTTCCACACTAATTCTCCTAATCTAAACAATCATAATCCTCTCACACATTAAAATATGGAATTTCATTTTAATATATTCTATTCTACATACCTCATCATTTAAACTTCTTACAAACTTGATCATAAATATCTTAGAACAGATGAAAAAACTGTATTACCATAAAATTACAAATTTTATGTACCCATGTTACCCAAAAGCTACAATCTTGATGCTGATTTTAAAATACTTGTATTGTTTTTTAAAGTTCTGCTTAAAACAAATGTTAAAAAGTGTAACAAACCTTTTAACCACTATGTAATGCAAAATGACAGTTTATAAATGATTTCAGAGTTCTGAATTTAGAAAATGTGTATCTGCCCTGGCCAGATAGCTCAGTTGGTTAGAGGTTTCGAGTTCTATCCCGGGTCAGGACACATAAGAATCAACCAATGAATTCATAAATAACTGGAAAAACAAGTCAATGTTCCTCTCACACACACTCTCTCTCTCTCTCTCTCTCTCTCTCTCTCTCTCTCTCTCTTTCTCGTAAATAAAAAAATTAAACATAAAATTACTATTAAAAAAAGTAAATGTGTAACAAGAATCTTAACCCACAAAGATTATGCTGTTTCTCTTTTTTTAACCCACAGACTACCCCAGTTTTTATTCTCACTGTTTAAATCTTTAAAAATAAAGGACAGTTTATATATTACATCAAGCAGTCTAAACTATCTCCGGTGTTTGTCTTACTTTTTACTACCTCATATAAATCAGTATCTAGCGCCTTATAATCACAAAAAGTGAAAACTAACAGAAAAGTGATTTACTGGAAGCCCCATTTAGAAGGTATATACAAATGTTAAATGAAAAGGTTCTTATAGAGTCTCTAGCACAAGATACACTAAACATCTACTAGAAGCTCTTAACCTAAAATGTATTATCTAATAAATGAACACCACAAACAAAAGTTTACCTACCAAGTTAACGACCTCGGACTAAGTGGACTACGAGACAAAAAAAAAATACGCTTGGCTCTCCAATCGTAAGTCAAGGTGACGAGGTGACTATACATACTCCATGAAATATTCGGATATTTTTTTTAATTATCAAATTAGGTTATACTCATCCAAAGCATTCCGGAAATTGTTTTCAATTCAGTGCTTTAAAAAAAATACATTCGAGTTTCTAAGCATACTTTTTCAGCCTATTTTAGATAAAGCATTTACACAACAAAATGATGCAGCTGGTCCTAGGATACCAGAGAAACAAACATCTTCAAAACCCATATAATCAAGAGTGTGTGTGCTTTTTTAGTAAACATAGCTCCGACTTGGGGGGGGGGTCGGGGGTTGCCTCTGTCTTGACAGCTACCCTGTCTGTTCCACCTGGGAGTTTTAAGAAAACTCTTCAAAAGTTGGGCCACCCATCGACCGTCGCTCTGAGAGAGAGACCCAATCCTGCCTACCAGGTAAAAGAAACACCCCGAAACGGCTCCCCTCCTCCCCACCAAACCCTTTCCCCTGGGCAACAGAAGGTTCTCCCGGAACGTCCACACACCCTCCTGCGAGCCCTCTGCACACACCCGGGCAGAGGCCGGGCACAGCGGAAGCCAAAGGGCTCAGACAACCAGGAGACCTCGGTACCCCGCCACCCGCGGCCCCTCCGCAGCCCCGGGTCGGTCAGGACCGCCACCCCTGGCGGAGAACAATCCACCAGCCCGGCCGCACGGACCCCGCAACTTCCCCCGAGCCCGCGCCGCGGAGCAGACTCGGAATCCGCCGCCGGGCAGCGGATGAGGGCGGAAGGGTGCGGGTGCGGGTGCGGGTGCGGGTGCGGGTGCGGGTGCGGGGGAGCGCGCCACCCGGGCGGCTGCCCCGGAGCCAGGCAAAGCGGGCTGGAGCGATGGAGCCACCGGCCTGGGCTCCGCGGCTCTCGCCCGGAGCCCCGGGTCTCCCAACTTTGCTTCTCCGGGAGGCGACCCCCGAGTCCCCTGCCGCCGGGGCTGCGGAGGGCGGGGAAGGCCTCGCCGGAGGCTCGGAGCCTCCTCGGCCCACCGCGGAAGGGAACGCGGTCGGGGTACGAGGGACAATAGGGAGCGGGGAGTGCTACGCGCCTGAGTGGCGCCGCCGGCCGGCCGGGCTGACTGACGCGCCAGCCGCGCGGCACCGCCGGGCTCTCCGCTCCGCCGGGCCGCCGCCGCCGCTGCCGCCGCCGCGCGGTCCGCGGGGGTCACGGCGCCCCCGACACTCCGGCTCGTGCCTCACCTCCCAGCCCCGCCGCCCAGGAGAGGAGCAGGATTAACACTCTCAGCAACACCATCTTCCGCGCCCGCCGCCTCCTCACGGGTTAACAGCAGCACATCGATCCGGAGGGAGACGCTGAAGGGGCTGGGTCCAGAGACTCCGCGGGAAGCCGGGACCTCCCGCCGACCGGAGAAGCGGCGAAGCACCTCCCTTCTCGCTCCCACTTCGGGGGCCCGACGGGCTCCCAGCTCCTCCAAAACAGGGACCTCCCTCCCGCTCGCTCGTTTCCTTCCTCCCTTCCCCGCTTTCCTTCCCTCGCTCCTTTCCTCTTCCCTATCGCCCTCCCCCAAGCCCGGGGCCTCCGCCTCCTTCCTCACCACGTGACGCACCGGCGCCCAACGGGCTCGCAGCGCCGCGCCCCTTCCTCCCGCCCCTCCCCCTCCCCGAGGCGTCCCAGGGGCGCGCGCATGCGCGCAGAGGCCGGTTCTCGGGCGGCCGGGCCCGCCGCCGCTTCCTGTCCGCCGGCGGAGAGCTGGGATTGGGCGTGGGAGGCGGGGTCTCCTTTGGTCCCGCCCCCCAGCGGGAGCGCGTCTCCGCGGACCAAGCTCCGCTAGTTCTTACAGCCGCTGAGAACTGTCAATTGGGGTAAAAATGGGAGAATGAAGGATGTTAAGGGGCCGCTTTCCACTTGTTAACAAGGAACGGAGATTTTTGTTTCTTTTTTCGGCTTCTGGTGATGCACTACAGCTAATAAGTAAACAAAAAGCAAGGTACCAGCAAGCGGTAATTATACTGGCTACAGTCACCGGCGGTCGGAACACAAATGTAAACACCTTCAAGCATCAGAGAGGAAAGGCACAGCCTAAGGCATATTTTTCTGAGCTCTACAGTCTTGTGTCAAGGCCCTGGCCTTAGCCGCTCAAAAAGCCTTCAGCCTAAACCACAAAGGTCCTAAATTTCCAACCCCCCAAAAATGTCCTCTTTACCACTTTCTCTGTCCGATCTATGAAAAGACTCTCAAATCTCCTTCATCTCAACTTCCTAACTTATTTAAAGTTTATATTTGGTTTCTTAGTAACTCACTTTGTTTCTTAAAACTCGTATTTCATGGACCACAGATTGAAGCAGAAGACCTGAAACTAGAGAACTTTAAAATAAAAGAAGGAAGGAAGGAAGGGAGGGAGGGAGGGAGGGAGGGAGGGAGGGAAGGAAGGAGGGAGGGAGAGAGGAAAGAAGGTCCTTGAGGTTGGTCTTGGCAATGATTTTTTTGGATATGACATCAAAAGCACAAGCAATGAAATCAAAACTAAATAAGTGGGACTACATCAAACTAAAAAGGTTATGCACAGCAAAAGAAACAAGAAAATTAAAACCTTCGAATGAGGAAAAATATATCCAAGTCGGATATCTGGGGTTAATATCCAAAATAAATAAAGGGTTAATATCCAAAATATATAAAGAATTTTTACAATTCAATAGCACAGAAGCAAACAATCCAATTTTTAAATGGGCAGAGGAACTGAATAGACATTTCCCAAAGATATCCAAATGACTAATAAGTACATGAAAAGATGCTCAATACCATTAATGATCAGGGAAAACACAAATCAAAACCATAATAAGATATCATCTCACCGTCAGAATGGCTCTGACCAAAAAGACAAGTGTAAAAGATGTGGATAAAAGAGAACCCTGTGCACGGTGGTTGGTGGGAATGTAAATTGGTACAGCCAATACAGAAAACAATATAGAGGCACGCCCCCTACTGGGGATCGAGCCTGCAACCTGAGCATGTGCTCTGGGAAGCAACCCCCAGGTGCACCAGATGATGCCCAACCAACTGAGTCCCACCTGCCAGGGCTCATGGAATTGTTTTGATAATCTAGTTAACATTTATAAAGTGACTATAACAGTGCCTGGCAGGCAATAAGTGGTTGTTAAGAAAAAAAAAAATAGAAATACCGTGGTCCTTCCACTCAGACATCCATTAAAAAAGAGTAATTAATAGCATTGTTTCCTTACCAGTATAATAAATGTGCTCCTCAAGTTTTAATAATGAGAAGTTCAGCAAGTAAGTCTGTGGCCGTGTAAAATATATTATATAAGTAATAACAGAAAAAATCTTGTTGCACAACTTGAAACCAATCCAGTAAATGGTTGGGGGGGGGGGGGTCTTAATTGACTTCAAAGAGGAAAGAAGGGGGAGAGACAGAAACATCAATGATAAGAGAGAGTCACTGATTGGCTGCCTCCTGCACGCCCTACACTGGGGATGGAGCCCACAACCAGAGCATGTGCCTTGGCTAGAATCAAACCTGGGAACCTTCAGTCAAAAGCTCGACGCTCTACCCACTGAGCAAAACTGGCCAGAGCCCAGTAAATGTTTCAACAATTACATTTTAAATTTACAACTACTAATAAACTAACTGTTTGCTATCTGTATTTCCCCGAAAATAAGACATCCTCTGAAAATAAGACTTAGCGCATGGAAAGATAAGACATCCCCTGAAAATAAGATCTAGCGCAACTTTGGGAGAAAAAATTAATATAAGACACTGTCTTATTTTCGGGGAAATAGGGGAGATGTCTTGTTGTCATGCCAAACTCAACATATTTAACTTCTTATCTCTAATAATGGCACCAATAACCTTGGTGGACAGTAGAATTATCTTAGACTCTTCTATGATTCTCTTGTCGACTCATAACCAGTCAACAAGTATTGATTCTTCCCTGAAATTGTCTTTCTTGTGCCTTTTACCTTTCTTTTTCTACTACTATCTCTGGTTTACACAACTATTTTCTGTTGCTTAAACTGCTACAGCCTCTCTCACTCCAGTCTCTGGTCCACATACTTTCAAACCCCACCTCAAGCCACTGCAATTTACTTACATTCCCATCATTCCTAAGAAGTTACTCTTTATAAGGCCATCAAAGATCCGTTAGCCCTGGCAGGTTTGGCTCAGTGGATGGAGCATCAACCTGTGGACTGACAGGATCCAGGTTCCATTCCGGTCAAAAGCATGTACCTTGGTTGTGGGCACATTCTCAGTGTGGGGTGAGCAGGAGGCAGCTGGTCAATATTTCTCTCTCATCTATGTTTCAAACTATCCCTCTCCCTTCCTCTCTGTAAAAATTTAATAATATATATATTTTTTAAAAAAATATATGTTATTAGCCGAAACCGGTTTGGCTCAGTAGTAGAGAGTCGGTCTGCAGATTGAAAGGTCCCAGGTTCGATTCCGGTCAAGGTCATGTACATTGGTTGCGGGCACATCCCCGGTAGGGGTGTGCAGGAGGCAGCTGGTCAATGTTTCTCTATCATCGATGTTTCTAGCTCTCTATCTCTCTCCCTTTCTCTCTGTAAAAAATCAATAAAATATATTTTAAATATATATATATATATATATATATGTTATTAATGCCACTGTACTCCTCCACTCCTTATCTAACTCGATCTCTTGGTCAATTAACAATCTTTCCTCAAAATTCCCTTTTCCAATACCATCCAAAACCTTGCCATCTCCTGATTTTCCTCCTTACTTCTTTTTTTTTTAATATATTTTATTGATTTTTTTTACAGAGAGGAAGGGAGAGAGATAGTTAGAAACATCGATGAGAGAGAAACATCGATCAGCTGCCTCCTGCACACTCCCTACTGGGGATATGCCCGCAACCAAGGTACATGCCCTTGACCGGAATCGAACCCGGGACCCCTCAGTCCACATGCCATCGCTCTATCCACTGAGCCAAATTGGTTTCGGCTCTTCCTTACTTCTTAATTGCATCTTTCCCCTGGGGCTTTTTCTACCCTTCATTTTTTTAAAATATAGCTGTTCCTTGGGATTTTAACTTTGGCTTTCTTATCTTCTCATTCTTCACTTGTATGATTATATTTTTTACAACCCCCAAAAGTCTGTGACTCATTAAGCTAAAACAAAACAAAACAAAAAACCTCTTTGGAAACAAAGCATGGGTGTGTCTTGTTCCAAATTCTACAGATATTCAGCACTTTTCCTGGACCTGTGCTCCAAGCCTCAGACCTGTATCCTAGGTGCACCATTTACCAGCTGTGCGACCTTCACTACATTAAGGCTCCTGTGCCAGTTTCCTAGTCTCTACAGCAGGGAAAATAGTAATACCTATCTCAGAGGGTTGCTATGAAAGTTAAATAAGTTAAGAGATGTAAAGTACTTAGAATACTATATGACACATAGTAAGCATTATAAAATGTTAGGTGGTGTTATCCTTACATATCCAACATTTACTAGCTAACTCCTCCCTGAAGTTACACAGCCACACCAAATTCAATATGTCCCAAACTGAACAAGCCCCTACACCAATCTACCCAAATCATTTCTTTCTTCCCACCTTTTCTATTTTGTTTAGTGACAATACCATCCGTGCAATTACCTAAACTGCTGCCCCATCTCAGTAGGTCATTAAGTCAGCTTTTATCTCCATTGTACGAAATTTCCCCACCTACCTCTACTGCCACAGCCCAAGGTCTGATCTCCTTGTCTTGCAATACCCATTCCCTGACATTTTGCCAGCACTGCTGCCAAAATGATTATTTTTATTCTTACCTGAGGATACGTACATTAACTTAAGAAAGAGAAAGAGAACAAAAGAACAACAGAGAGCCAAAACAGGTTTGGCTCAATGGATAGAGTGTGGGCCTGTGGACTGAAAGGTCCCAGGTTCGATTCCAGCCAAGGGCATGTACCTTGGTTGCGGGCATATCCGAGTAGAGGGTGTGCAAGAGGCAGCTGATTGATGTTTCTCTCCCATCAATGTTTCTAACTCTATCCTCTCTTCCTCTCTCTAAAAAATCAATATATATATATATTTTTATTATTATTATTATTTTTTTTTTAAAGAGAGAATGACAGCTGAAACCGGTTTGGCTCAGTAGATAGAGCGTCGGCCTGTGGACTGAAGGGTCTCGGGTTCGATTCCAGTCAAGGGCAGGTACCTTGGTTGTGGGCACATCCCCAGTAGGGAGTGTGCAGGAGGCAGCTGATCGGTGTTTCTCTCTCATCGATGTTTCTAACTATCTCTCTCCCTTCCTCTCTGTAA